TTTACTTTTCCAGTTCTGAAGAGCGTACGCTAAAATCAATGAATCGAGTGTATCTAAATAACGGGCCTTAAGTTTTTCAACATTCACAGAAACTTGCCCAAAAAGGTTTGATCAGATTGATGACTTTATTTTACTACTCAATGATATGTCTGTCTGTATTTGACATGTTCTGTATTAACATCTAATAAGCGTTAGGGAAAGTTGTTGACTTTCACATTCAGATAAATTTGTGTTTGTGTTGTCAGAGGAAATGACTTGAACTACATATGCACATCAAATTAGACAATGAGTAATTTTGTCTTAAATGCTTGTCATTTATATTCTAGTGTTGGTTTGTAGGGATTTGATTGGGTTTTTTATTTACAGCTTGATTCCACACTGTATTTTTGGTACATGTATGGAATTGTCAGCATGGATATCGGTCTCCCAAATTTTCCAGGCCAACTATAGATATCAGGTGTGTCATCAGGGGATCGAACTTAGGAACATGTGCATGGTCGGCGAGAGTCCTAACTACTGTGCCACCGACACACGATTTCATCATGAGCTGACATTGGTTAGAGAACCACTGGAAAACCAGCTGAGAGTACTGGACAGATGTTTCGTCCTAGTTTGGGAGTTTATATCAGCACGCTCCCACCACTAGAGTTCGAACCCAGGACCTTCTGGTTACAGGGCGAGCTCGCATAACATTAAGCCGCTGGGACTCGATCCAATGGCCAGCCTAGGAATTCTAACTTCTGCCAATTCACGACATCGCGCGGCCCCTCGCCTTGTAACCAGAAGGTCCAGGGTTCGAACCGCGGTGGATGCGTACTGATGAAGAGTCCCGAACTAGGACGAAACAATTATCCAGCACTGCCAGGTTTTCCAACAGTTTTCTAACTGATGTCAGCTCATGATGAAAAGCTTGTCATTTAACTTTTTATTCTCCTTCAACTATGAATACTCTACTAATTTCCAAAGTATTCATTTATTCATGATGTAAAAACTGAATTTTACTTTATTCCTTAATCTAAGAATAATTTTATGTTCATAGATTTTTCCCATTAAGAGTTTTGCAAAAATCAGTCTCTTCTAAACTGATCCTTTCTCCTAACAAGACAAAGACAGTTTTCAAGTACTTCAAGGTGGTTCACGAAGTGATTATAATTAATGGACTGTTGAAAACTAGGAGGTACTGAACAGCTGTTTCATCCTTATCCTGGATTCTGAAGTGGTATGCGCCTACAACCCCACCAGGGCTTCTGCCTATTATCTTCAGATCACAGGGGGAACTCCTTGATCATTCATCCACTGAAACCGAATCGAATTGTCCATGAATTATAGCTTCTGCCGTTTATGGTGCGACTGCTTGTCAGTGTCATCGGTAAGTATTCCTCCTCATACATCCAGTTTGATGGAACTGTCTGAAATTATTTTGATAAGTCGTGACTAGCTAGACCCATCAAGGTGGATGTGGGGATAGATACTCCACAATGACGTCGGCTGGTGGTTGGGCTATATCGCGAATCAGCAAAAGTCAGAAATGATGAGCTACGGGATTCCATCTCAATAGCTAAATAGCATACATGCTCGTCCTGTAACCTGGAGGTGCTGAGTTTGGTTCTTGGTGGAGTCATGGGCGCCCACTACAGAAGAGTCCCAGGCTGGAACAGTATGACTATCCAGTTCTCCTTCGAATTCAACTGTCTACCAAATAAATGTATTCAAGCAGAGATTTCAGAATATGTAAAATATTTTCCATAGTTCATATTTGACTGAGTACGGACAAGTCAATAGGAAGAAGATTTTTACGGAAAGTTATTTATGTAAGGCGAATTCGCATTATTGACGAGTTAATTACCACTGGAAATGTTTGCAAGGAAAGAAAGATACCTACTAGTTGTAAGACAGACTATCTTTTCAAACTACCGAAGAAGGGTGACTTACATCTCTGCAAGAACTGGTGCAGAATCATGCTGTAATCCACTTCAAGCAAAATACTAATTCGTGTCCTCCTAGAGACCTAAAAGAAGACGCACTGGATACAGAACTCCAACCAGAACAAGCTGAATTCAGGAAAGTAATTCATGGGAAGATTGAATTTCAACCCTGCGCATCATCGTCTAGCAGAGCATAGAATAGTAGTCAGATCTCTACCCAAATTTCATTGACTTCGAAAAGGCCTGTAACAGCGTTAATTGCGAAGTAATTTGGAAACTAATTTAACGCTATAAAGAGCATTGCATAAATTTTTATCAACCTCATCCAACAGCCGGCTATACGACAATGCCAAGTGTCAATAAGCTGATCCACAACAAAAACTCAGACAAGCGTATGCAGTGAAGACTGGAGTAGGACAAGGGTGACTACTATCAACAATGATATTCCTGACTGTGGCGGGATGGATTATGCGTCAGACTAAGGATAGGGAGTGAGAAGACAGCCAGACACTGGACTGATAACAGGACTCTAGAAGATTTTGAATTAACGGAGGATTTATTTCTAAAGTTGCATAAATTCACCAACAATCTGGTAGAAGAACCAAGCGGCGAAGAGAGGACTTCAAGTAAACATAGAGAAGACAGAGATGATGAAGATAACCAACCAACAGAAACAACTGTCGTGAGAGCTGGCTGTTATTCAATATTGGTGGACAGTAATTGACGTCAATGTTTACTTCCCTAATATTGGTCGTGATAAAAATGACAACAAAGGCTTTGCGTAGGCGGATACAGTTAACATATAGATGATCTGACATTCAAGAAACAGCCACTAAGAAATGCAAGATTAACTTTCTGTGAGGAACAGCCAATCAGAAGACTGTGTTTTCTGCTAACAATAATCTATAAAATGTACATGAAAATCTATAAATACTTGTTGATTTCTTTAATAAACGATCTGTTGCCTGGCCCTTGTTTTCTGTTGTTACACAACAACAACAACAAGCACCAATCACTAACAACGGGAGAAATTTGAATTAGGTCAATTCTTCCACTTATCTAGGAAGTGTCGTTCTAACTACAGGCGGATGAAAATGTTAAAACCATAGTCGAAAAGGGAGAGCAGAAATTTATCACTCTGTAATCGATGTAGAAATCTGCTTGGCTCACAATAAAAAAACAAGATTCCGATTTTTTAACACCAATGTTATATCAGTCACTGCTCCAATATGGATTGGAGATTTATCGCGTCACGAAAAATATTTTTAACAGCTGCTCCGCAATGGCCCTATACTGATAATCAAATGACCAGAAAGAATTAACAACAAGAAACTCTGGGAACCAACCAGTCAACAACCTATTGCTCAAAAAGTATTCATGAAGAAAATGGAGATCGGGTCGGAGACATGCCAAGATCGGTGGGTGACATAAAGCGCGAGGCATTGGTCGGGTGGGACCTAAGTAGGAAACAATGATCCATAGAAAACCTACATGGAATTGTCAACTAATAAGCTCCTACAGATGGGTACCCATTCAACAAAAGCAGAATTTAATTAAATCACTTGTCAGCCGCATCCGACGCATCTGCAGTCTCAACGTTCTGAAAATAGAATTAGGTATTTTGAGAGAAATCTTCATCCAAAATGGATCCCCAATACAATTCATCGACAAAAATATCAAACCAAGAATTCGGAGAAACGAAACTTTAATTGCGTTTAAAAAGAAACTCTACATGAACTTGGATTTCAAGGGAGATTTAGCAAGCGATATTCTCAAGAGATAGATCACATCATCTAACACTAAGAATAGTGTTCTCCAGTCGCCCACTGATCTGCAGAGGCCTCAAGGACAAGATCCCGCATCTGGCCACTTCTGTGTGCATATACCAGTTCACCTGCTCCTGTGGAGCCAGGTACATCTGTCGTTTGACGCGCATCCTGCCTCAGAGGATTCAAGAACACTATCCAGCATGGTTGCGAAAAGGCAATAGTGGTGCAATAAGGACTGCGATAATTCAACACCTGGTTAACACTAATCATTCCATTTCAACAAACGCCTCCTTCAAAGTAATCTACAGAGTCAAGAATAACCTATCAAAGGCAATACGGTTTCTTCTTTGTATCGATGAAGCTCTAGCCATTCACATAGAAAAACCGGAGCTGTGCATACAAAGGAAGATTACTCAACCACTTCTACTATCATGGTAACAACTTTTTTTGTTTTAATTTGATTTGAGTTTTTCTGATTTTGATGATTTAATTTTGTTTCTTTGTCTGTTCTTTAACTGCTTAGAATTCTTGTATTCATTCAGAACTGTTGCGTAATTTCGTATTATCTGCTTTGTTTCTATGTGCATCCTGAGTAAAACTCACTCATCAAACTATTCATACTATTACATAACTTCTTTTAACAACTGTTTGTGACAACTCATCACCTTTGTTACTACCTTAATTTCACTAACATCTGATTTTTTTGACTTGTATTACCAATCTTCACCTGTTTAGTTAGTTACCATAACCAATTGTATTTTCGTTTGACAAACTTAGTGTACACATATATATTTGCGATTGCACAGTTAAGAAAATGAATTCACTGAAAAGAATCTCTTCGCTGATCTACGTGTTTTGCTTTCATTAATGCCTGAATGGGGATTATCCATGAAATGGGTAAAGTGTTAGTCCTCATACGGTGACATTCAGGAGACTATTTGGTAAGATGAAGAGATGACGGCCTACGGACAATCGTGAAGTCATCCAAAGAGCACTGCAGAGAACAGAACAATGTACAGATATCAATGGGCGTGAACACTGAACGTTTGTTTATTGGCCTTGGTCGTCATTGGCGGGCAACTTGAATGGTTCAGTCGTGTACAAGTTGAAAGAAGACGAAAGAATACGAATAAAATTTTGGAAAGAGTTTTGATTTTAACTGCCGAAGAATATAATTTCTTATTGGTCCTTGTGTTTTGGAGTTAAAGTCGAAATCGTACTTAGAAGTTGTCGATTCTGAGCGTCTTCGCAAATCATAGGAACTTAGGGTTAAGTTCCTTGACAACAGATGTGCTGCTATAGCCATGTACTCCACTTGGAATGCAATGGAATAGTGATAATAATACTAACCACTGAATATGTATCATACTTCAAGAACTTGACTTCATCTGATACTTCAGTAAAGACCTTTTAATGAATATATATAACAAATACATATATATGACATCCATTAACTAGTGAAAGTTAACATCACTGTATACAAATTATGTAACAGAGTCTCTGGTAAAAAGGAATACAAATTAAAATCTATGAAAAATTAAAAATTACCACAATAGTCATTCCTATACACATTATTAATCACAGAATATAATATTTGCTTCATATGTGTACAGCACAATGAGTAGAATACACTTGACACAATGTACAACACAGATAAAGAATCATACAACACATGACAACATTTCAGTGTGAGAGGGAGAGAGAGAGAGGGAGAAAAACACCGTTTGTAAACTAAGTCATTCTTGCTGAAGGAAAAATAAAAGTAGAAATTATGTAATCAAAGGAAATGATGCAATGCGGAAAGGTATCTGAGTCTGTTGTTGTTGTCGTGTTGTTGTTGTTGTTGTTTTCAAAATAACGTATCCCCCTAATCTTTTGGTAATTTATTTTGAATGAAATACATGACGAAATCACAGATTCTCTTTATAGGAAAAACAAAACACCCGCGTCTTTTGTATCACTGTATTATTCAAGGAATAAATGACCTGCTGAAATACAACATTTAAGTTTGTACATTGTTTTTTGTTTTTAAGAATGACGTAGAAATCTCATTCTATACCTCTCCATCTTTTCAAGTTGATTACTGTAAAGTGATGTGGGTTCTTTAGCCAATTGCAATTTTTTGACAAAGTGACTTTGTACAGAATAATATATTCCTTATATAAGTAATCTCTGGTTTTAGATCAATTCAAGATGGCTGGTTGTTTTCACTTACGACAAATAAATGTATACTGATGAAATTCCAAAATTACTCCATATTCCTGTATTTAAATGTTATTTATTTTACATTTCTAACTGATTGTCTTTCTGTAAGTATTCAGTGTTTTTTTTGCATTGATGAACGATAGTTCTTTATTATTCCATGAACTTTAGTCTTTATTGGATAATTTATTGTAATCCTCTGAAGGATCCGTGAAACCGGTTGATCCATCTTGACAGAAGAAATAAAACAAATGTCATTCATGTTAAAAGTAATTCATAGAAGGGTATGACAGATAAAAAAAATATTCCTCTGTTAGCAAAGTATAGTGGATCTAGGTATATTCAAAAATTCCTTCTTTATAGCGTATTATATCTTCCCAAATCTACCTTTGGTGCTCATTGACAATTATCGGTAAATTTTGGGAAATTTATGTTTGTTTTTTTTGTTTTTCGCGAGTTGATCATGGATTGATATCAGTTAGATAACCATTGAAAACCAGTCACAGGGAGTACTGGACAGATGTTTCATTAGCCTAGTTGAGAAATCATCGGCAGTGCGCACCCACCACATGAAGTTCGAACCCAGGACCTTGCGGTAACAAGGCAAGCTCGTAGTTCAACAGCTGATGTCCTTTCGTGAAGAAATCTAAATGTCAAAATTAAGTGGTCACAATACCTATGCTTTCTTCAATATCTGTGTATATTTGAATTCGTGACCAATGAGGTCCAACCAGCCAAGTGTGAGGATGGATATCGCACAGAAGACATTCGTCGGTGTCACGCTAAATCACGAACCGGTAGAAGTTAGAATTCATGGGCCATTGGATCGGAGGGGTACCAGTGGCTGAATGATATACGAGCTCACTAGCCTTGTAACCGGAAGGTCCTGGGTTCCAACCTCATGTGGTGGGTGCATACTTCCGATGATTCCCAAACTAGGATGAAAAAAGTGTCCAGTACTCCCTGGTTTTCACTGCTTCTCTAACTGATATCAACCCGTGATCAACTCGTAAAAAACAAAACTAATCCTTAAAAACCAGTGGAGAAAATTTATGTTTTTCCACCCCATACCATAATTATAACTTGTGTCAATCAATATCAGAAACCATAAACCTCAACAACAAACCGTTACGACACCAATGAACCCACAATGGCGCTAGAAGCTATATTACGTAACTTGGTATCGTAATAGATCACACTATAGTGAACAGTAGTCTTGTTGTACTTATCTTAATGTTGTCAGTGCACATTTAATTGGTAGATCTCAGCGAGTACGTTTAGGAGTGAACCAGATTTATCATTCCACGAATTCTAGATAGGATTACACAAGTTCAGTTACTGCCAAAGTTGAAAATTCTTTAAAACCGCAAAATACCTTTCTGATGAGTCCTAACACAGACATAAAATCTAAGCCTAAGGTGTGTTTCTATGCGTATTTATGATATATTACTATTTTATCCCCTTACGTTCCCAGTGGAACATGGGGTGGCTTCAAGCTAGACCTCTGAACTCCCCATAGCAGTGGTGTTTTTTTTTATGGGGTAGGGTTGCTAACCTCAAGTTCAACCTTCCCCCTTACCGGTGTTATTATCGGCTTAGAGAGGTAAAGGAGTGCGACTGTGACTGGGGATCGGACCCTGAGCATATTACTGCTGAACCACCGACACTATATATATATATATATATATATATATATATATATATATATATAAGAATGTTTTGGTTGCTAAAAGCACACGCATCTAATAAGAATGGCAGATTTGGACGCTATAAGAATGACTGAACACAGATCAGCCACTCATAAAAATGCCCTGAAGCCAAGTTTCAGGTTTGTTGGCACTCATCAACAGGACAGGTGTATAAAATCTGTTCTAAATACCCCTGTCAAGAATACTATCTTAAGTTTTTGTAAGGGTTAATCCTAATTTTATTGTTGATAATATTCATCAACTTGTATAGGACCTTTTAGTGTTGATTTGTTAGGATTTTATTAGTTTTAGATCAACATCCTTAAATAAATTTACTGCTCATCAGTTATGGATCACAGGATATTCGTCCTGCAGCTGTAGTGAGAAATAGTGACCAGAAGAGTCCATCAAGTCAGGTGTGCAGGTAGATACTCATCGATGACATCGCCTATTGGTAGTGTAGCGGTGTGATACAGACAATGGGTTCCAACGGAGTATTATTCTCATATATTCCCACAGTTCAGTACTGCATCAGGAACAGAATACTATATATGTATTTGAGCATTTTATTTCAGGTCATTTAATGTAAACTAAAATCACACGCTCAATGATTGGTTAGACAGTATAAAACTGTATCTATATAAATAGCTGTTTGTTCACTTGAAATATACCTTTGCCTCCGTGCCTTACCTTCTGCTGTTAGAGTAGTACTGAACATCACAAATTGAAAGAAGTTAGAAATGATGGGATAGCAACTGAATGGTAACGTGGTCACCTTTAAACTTGATGGTTTTTGGGATGGTTCGAGGCAGTATCATAGGTGGATCTTATTAAAGAGTATCAAACTAGAAAGAGGTAGCTGTCAAGTCTGTGTGGAGGTCAACAGCAATCAGCATGAAAATGAAAATAAGATACGGATTTTCAACTCCAATTTGAAGTCGGTGCCACTTACTATACGGATCAGAGACTTGGCGAGTCATAAGGAACATCTCAAACAAACTTCAGACCTTCATCAACAGTTGTCTTCGCTCAATACTCAAGATCAGATGGCCGGCTAGAAAAGATCAGCAACAGGGATCTCTGGCAATGAGCGAACCAACTCAGCAGGAACCGATTGTGAAACAAATAGTCAGGAAGAAATGGAGATGGATTGGTCACACCCTGAGTAAACCATCAAGTGACATCACTAGACAGGCCATCGCTCGAGTGGAACCCGAAAGGAAAGCGGCGAGTTGGTCGTCAGTGCAAGGGTGACTTGGAGGAGGTCATGCGAGGAGGAGATGAAAACATGTGGGCAGACTTGGAGCGGAGTGAAAAAGTTGTCAGAAAACAGAAGGAAATGGAGGTGCGCAGCTGAAGCCCTATGTTCCTCTAGAAATTAAATGAAATAATAATAATTAGAGGTAGCTGGATAGTACTGCTTGACTTTCAGCAGTTCAATAACTGATGATCCTTCGTGATGAAACCGATCTCTATAGAATCCTTTAAAGCTATCAGCGTTTACAATGCATATGCTCTCTTTTTATATCCATGTGAATTTCAATTCGAGTGTGTTATCAGTTTATCTTACCCTTAATAAAAACTAAGTAGTATGTTAGTATTTAATTCAAATAAAACAGCTATGACACTTTAAAGGGCATAACTTACTTTTTTCAACGATAGGCGCACATTCTGACATTGACCCAAATTGTGTGGAATGATTCGCCTTCGCCACATTATCATAATGGTGTCGTAGTAATTCAAGATAGTAAAATTTCATACAAGCTTCAAATGTACTGAATTCCTGATTTTTAAAACTATTTAAATTCGACAAAGCATCAAATTTCACTTGATCTTTATGATTATAAATGCTATTACATATATCTTTATTCAAATGACAGGTCGCGTAAAGACTCCTGTTGTGTTCTAATGTTCCTACACTGACAGAGGAACTGGGTAATTCCAAGCAATTATTGAAAACCTGTTGTTTCTCGTTGCGTAAATTGTATAAGTCTTGAGGATGAAATATGTTGGCGCTTGTTCGGCATAAGTTGTCTACTGAAAATATTGTGTCTGCCTCACAAACACCAGGATTCTTTCCTTCTAAATTACAAAGAACACACGATTGATACTTAGAAGTTTGTTTAAATGTGAAATTTTCCTGCAAACCATTTTGTCGAGGAAGAGGCGGGTGATTACAATCACTGATAGGAGAGGTTTTGTGTTTCTTTGGATTACTCTGAGTTGCCTGACTATTTCCTGTTTTTGTTTTTGTAACTTTTCTTGTCACTGGGGAACATTCTGTATCCAACAATGACGAAATGGTAAATTTGTTTAAATTTTTACTCGATTTAGCTTGACATACAGGATCTTTGGGACAAACGGATGTAGAAGTAGTAGTAGTAGTAACAGTTGGCCGATGAAGACGCTTGGGATCAATACAACTTGATGGTCTAATGCCTGATTCTTTTTCCTGTAACCTGGAGATATTCCCCTGAATGCATGGATTAGAACTGGTTGAATAGTTTCTGTACACCTCATGACTTAGGGGTTCATCAGATTCACATGATTTTTCTACATTTGATGAAGTATTGAAAATAGTTTTACAAAAGCCTTTGCATAGGATATCAGCGATCTCCTGATTTGACATTGGTACGTTATTTATCAAAGCTTTTGTCAGAGTATCATCAGAAACGATGGTGGGGGTGGTGGAGGTGTTAGGAAGTTCTGCTTCGAAAGGAATGTAGAGAGAAAAAGAATTAACCAAATAATTATCAGGCTGCAAAGTTCTGAAATACTAAAATGAGATATTAATTGCTACTCATTACGAATCTTGTTATCTAGCTGATCAATCTGTGAATCCCAGTCGTTAAAGTTACGTCAAAGTACACTTTTAAACACTGAATTATTTCAAATTATCGATCATCATATAGGAAAACAGTGCGTCGGTGGCACAGCGGTGGACGCTTGCCGACCATGCACATGGTCCGGGGTTCGATCCCGGCCACAGACGCACTCCTTTGGCTCGCTAAGCCAGAAACAATGCGCGTAAAGAGGAAAGGTTGGGAATGAGGCTAGCAAATCCATCCTGTAAAAATAAACACTGCTACAGAAACTTCAAGCCACTAGCTTGAAGCCCTATGTTCCACTGGGAACGTGAAGGAAAAAAATATATAGGGAAACAGGGGAGTATCTTTATGACTGGATTTCATGCATTCATTTCACCGAATATGTCTACTTTGACAATATACGCGTACATGGATTCGATCCCCCCTCTCCGACGAACCTCTAAACGTCGCTTAGCACATAGTAAGCCGCTAGGAAAGGAAGGAAGGTCGGGTGTGAAGCTAGAAACTTCATGCCCTAGAAAATCCATCGCTGCTAAAATTCGAAAGCTTAGGCTTCAAGCCCTGTATTCCACTCAGTGCTGATTTTGCCAATGACATGATCATCTTTAAGTGTCATGCACACCAATACAAAGTTGTGACAAATTAGAACAGTTTCTAGGTATATAGAGGTGGAAATTAATTAAGTGAAATCCCCTAATCAGCAGTCTAAATGAACTGATAGTCTTTTTTCCACTGGTCATCATTTTGCCCTTTTCGAAGAATTTAGTCACATTCACCTGAAAAGAATAAACAAATAAATACTGCTCCCCCCCCCTCCGAACGACGACCTAATACGACCGATGGTGGGTCGACTTCACTTGGTTTTCTTCTTGAAATGCTCCCCTCGGCCACGGGTTTATAGCCTTGATATGGCAGACTAGTATTGACAATAACGAAAGGGCAAATATAAAAGTCTGGTGCCTACAAACAGATTGGTGGGAGAGCAGGTTTACCGAGGGAAGCTTAAAAATTCTGACGCCTAAGTGATAGTGTCCATAGGCTCCAGGATCTGTAGGGATGAATGACGTATGAAACTACTTTGGTCACTGTCAACTATGGGGACGCAACTATCGATGCTTCTGAATTGCCTTATGGATCAGGCTTCAGGTGAAAGGCTCAGAGATGGTCTCTTAAGACAATCACCTGTTTCACCGTGGGCGTCCAGGTAGTAGTATCCTAGACCTGGTACGAACTATGAGGTTTTAATGGGGGGGTGCATTTCCTGGTGCTCATCATATGCTAGGTGTGTGTTTTAGTAACGATCTCCCATGTTTCAAATTCTAAAAACAGTTTTGATGAATAACATGCTTTAGCAATGAAATGATTCGGTTACAGGATTTCATCATGAGCTGACATTGGTTAAGAACCATTGGAAAATCAACTAGGAGTACTGGACAGCTGTTTCGTCCTAGTTTGGGACTCTTCATCAGTACGCACCCATCAGCAGGGTGCGAACCCACAACCTTCTGGTTACAAAGCTGGCGAGCTCGTAGGCCATTAAGCCACTGGGACCCACCCGATCCAATGGCCAGCCAGCCCATGAATTCTAACTTCTGCCAATTCACGACATTTCGCAAGGCCGGACCCCTAGCCAATGTCTGCGGCGACTATTTGTCCTCACACCCGACCTGCTACACCCTACTGGTCTCACTGGAACCCCAGGTAACTACCTACCTGAATAGGGTAAGTCGCCAGTAAGCATCTCATTGATATTCAAGTACTGGTTTGTAGGACGAAACAACTGTCCAGTACTCGTAGCTGGTTATCCAATGGTTCTCTAACCAGTGTCAGCTCATGATGAAACCCTGTAACCAATCAACCAAATCCCTACAAACCAATACTTGAATGAAAATGAAATATGACATATACAAAACTGCCTAAAACCATGAATGGGCAGTGAGAACTTACAAAACTATTTGTAGATGCGTTGATGTAGACGCTGATGACAATGATGATGTGTGTTGAAAACCTCTGTCTTCATTTGAAGAAAAAGGCTGTTGCATACTCACATTATGATTCTTATTGTCTAAGGTTTGATTTGGAATCAATGTCCCTGGAGTTAACAATGATTCTTTGGTTTTACCACAATTGACATTGTGATCATTATTCGATATTATTTGTTTAGCAGTTATATTTTTAAACTGTATGTTTTCATGTGTTTTAATTGGTGAATAATTCATATTCCCGTCAGGGTAACCGTAAATAGCACTTTTATCGCTCATACAGGTATGCTTGTCTTTATTCAAACTAGAAGAAGTACATAATTTGTTGATATTGCTGAATGTTGATAAAAGTTCAGGTAAAAATAGTGATGAAGATGATGGTGACAATAGTGTTGATGCAAATGACTGGAAATTTATTGCACTTTTGAGATCAAAACATTGTTTCTCATTATCAGCATGTGGACTCATAATAGATGAAAAGCCTGGAGAAAATGAAGAATTCATTGTACTTGAAGGATCCATAGAAATTGGTGACAACGGTGAAAGTATTGAGCTTGGAAAAGATGGAACACATGATCCTATTTTTGAAGGAAATGTTGTGTTGTAAGATTTATTCTCAAATACTGAATGATATGATGCGTAGCAAGAATTACTTGCTCCAGGAGACTTGTCAAATGTAGGTGGGTTGACAATAAAGTTTGGAGTGTTGTATGCATTTGCTGATATGTTTGGTTGTAAGACTTTAACATTGTCAACAGTACTACTGTCATGTGGGATTTTTAGTAGATCTTCTCTTCCATAAGTGGAAAGATTCGTTGTATGTTTAGAAGTTGGGCTTACCTTTTGAAAGGGTTTGTTAAAATAATTTTTACTCTTTCTGTGGGATGTTGATCGAGAAGCAGATATTTCATTCACCGCACTATCACTAGATACACTCGAACTTTTGACTGTGTTCATTCTTGAAGACTGACTATCTAGACAACAAGAAGTGTTAGGCAGACGTTCAAATTGTTCTGTGTTCGATATGCTACAGACATCCCTTGTAGAATAATGGATCTCATTAGATTTACGTGATCTCTTAGTATGGATATCAGATGATGGATTACAATTATTAGCTTCCAACATACTATATTGTTTCATCAGCTCGTTGAATAAATGTTCCCTTTCTAATTCAGAAAGACCAATCAATTCTGCATGACGTCTGACTGTATGCCGTTTGATTGTGTCCACTTTCCGTTGAGTCATTACCTTATGACAGACGAGACACATCACCTGTTAAAGTAATCATAAAATATCGAATTTATATATATTTAAACAAACTACTTACAAATTTGTCAGTAGTAACAAATATAGTCAGTTATAATAAATCACGATGGTAACAGCTTTATTCGCTAATTTCACTATTACAACAAATAACACACTTTTGTTGTATATCACGCATACCCTGTGTAATGTACCTTTAAGTGATAAAAAAAATAATGAACATTTCAATCGAATGGTGTCTAAATTAGTAGAAAATGTTATTTCAAGGTTGAAGACGGCAAATATACCTACTGTACGTCTCCAATTCATACGTGTGTGCGTGTTTATGTTTCAATGTGTCACCTACAGTACCCACCAATAAATCATCACATACGATTAATTAAAAACGGTGTGCATCAGTTTCTTCCTTTCAGTGTATTTCTGTTTTCAATACAATATTTACGATAGATTAAAATAGTAGAATATTTGTATTTTCATTCTTTATACGTATTACTTTTATTTACTTTGTATTTTAAAATGACAGTTTTGTGTCGATAATTGAATGACGCTTATAATGAGTCTGTAGATAGGTATATACAGGCAAACGAACCTTTGTATTCACATTCTTATCAATGTAGCTAATAATACACGTAAATTACCGTGTATATTTATCTGTATATTATAAACTGTCAATCATAGAAATGATCTATCAGAACAGGGAGAAATAACAATACTGTCGTTGTAAATTGATGTACACAGTAACAGAAATATTATCTCTAGGTAAAAGTGAAACAAACTGGTGCAGACAAAGGACATGCACACATGTTTTCCTTCAAATGAACACTAATCGGGTTTTCCTATTTAACTTACTTAACATATGTGTATATATAGAAGGAAGAAAGTCTATTCATCAAAGAACTTTTAATGCTGGTAAACTATAACTTTTATTTCCTATACGACCTACGGTGTTTGCCCAACTGAAAGATGAAGTATTCTGGACTAGACACTCTTAACTGTATCTATCAATTCAACTGGGCTTGTGGTAGAGCGAGTTATATTGGCCGTTGCTCCAGGAACTTGATTTTCTATGTTCGGGAACATCTATCATCAACAGTTTGATATTAGATCACCTGGTTTAAAATGCCTGTGAAGCTGGAATTGAAGAATCCTTCTCTATCATCTACTGGGTACCAAATAAACTGCTGAAAACATCCAGGTCCCGCATATTCCAAACAGTATAGGCTATCGCGATCCGCCTTAAACACCAGGTGCTCTGTGTGAAGAAGAAGAAGAAGCAAGTTCAGCCAGCCAACCACTATTGCTGCCCTGGCCGGTCTTCAGTGAAGACTAGAAATTCATGAATTTGTATTATTACCTTTCCTAATTCGCCTGTCTGATATTCAGTGTATTGTTATGTTGTTTTTTTCCTTCACGTTCCCAGTGGAACATAGGGCTTCAAGCTAGTAGCTTGAAGTTTCTGTAGCAGTGTTTATTTCACAGGATAGGGTTGCTAGCCTCGTACCCAACCTTTTCTCTTTTTCCAGCATTATTTCTGGCTTATCGAGGTAAAGGAGTGCGTCTGTGGCCGGGGATTGAACCCCAGACCATGTGCATGGTCGGTAAGCGTCCTAACCGCTGTGCCACCGGTGCACAATTGTAATCCATTTATATATCCATTGATTCGATGTCATTTAAGCAACATTACTGCTGTTAATAGCACTAATTCATTCAGTATTATGTATGTAGAACCTAATGAAGAAGGAATTATAGAAAAAAATATTCTTTGTCAGTAACCATTTTTTTAAAATAAAGTTGTTGTACAAGACTACCAAAAAGAGGGCAATATGAACACAGACTCATTGATAGAATGCATCTGATGAACTTAATGTAGGTATCTTATCCAGACAGATGTACTTTTCATATGAGCTCAGCATATAAAAAGAAATAGGAATGTTTAACCAACTTTATATATTTTGCCTCATTATTTCTAAGAGATTCTATGTGTTTTCATCATTCATTTCTATTACACTTTGGCATCCAACTATTCTGATAACTGATCTGCTTAAAGTTTCTATAGTGACTGAACTGATTTCGCGGGATATAGAAACTGGCCCCATGCTCAACCCTCCATCTTTTTTCTATGTCTTAAGACCGGCTAAAAAGTGGATGAGCTGAGTGTAGAATTCTACCATCACGGAACAGGCTGGATCGCAAATCTACCCATCATCATCATCACCAACAAAGCATATTGGAGCATTCACACCTCTACCTCAATTTCATCGACTCTGAAAAGGCTTTCAACAGACAGTCTTGACTGAGACGTTATTTGGAAACTACTTTAACACTACGGAGTGCAGTGCCTAAGTCTTTATCAACTTCATTCAAAATATTTTCCGAAGAAAATGGAGATTCATGAGACACGCACTGAGGAGACCATTGAGTGATATAGCGGAGCAGGCTATAACTCGAATGGAACCTCATTTGGGAAGGAAGAGTTGAATATGAGTCTGAGGGTGAAACTTGAGGAGATCGTGTTAGGAGAAGATGAGAGCCTGTAACTAATAATGGAGCTACACAAAAATAGGATCGCAAAGAACATGAGAAAGTAAAAATCTGGTGTTGAAGTCCCATTTTCTACTCGTAACCTAAAGGATTAATAATATATCCTGATCAATAATGAAGTGCCTCCTCTTTCGGTAGAATAACTTTCTGTCAGTCTAAATAAATAGTTGTAGCTTTTTCCAAGTGTTGAAAATGACATTCAAAGTCATCCGTAAAAATATTTTGAAAGTTTCAAAGCCTACACTATTCCGTAGTATCTAAAGTGAACAAATAAATACCTGTCCGAAGAATATATCCGTGTTTATTCAAGTGTTGGTTTGTAGGGATTTGATTGGATACAGGATTTCGTCATGGGCTGACATTAGTTAGAGAACCATTGGAAAGCCTGGGAGTACTGGACAATTAGCTGTTTCATCAGCCTAGTTTGGGATTCTGCTTCAGTAGTACGAACCCACCCTAACTGGGTTCGAACCTAGGACCTTCTGGTTACATGGCTAGAGGTCTCGTAGACCATTGAGCCACTGAGACCCGGTCCAATACCCAGTCCATGAATTCTAACTTCTGCCGATTCACGGCATAGTGCGACCACTACCCATGTCTTCGGCGAGTATTTGTCCTCACACCCGACCTGCTGCATCCTACTGGTCACGACTACTCACTAGAACCCAGGTAACTACATACCTGAATAGGGCAAGTCCGCGTTTCTTTTCAGTCTTTTCAGACCTAGATGATGTGGGATTTAAGTTAAACACTAAAAGACACAAATCCATTTATCTCAAAATTACAGAACAACTATAAAAAATAAAGCACTTATGGTGATTATGGAAAGTTCATTTGCTTCAGAGAAATTTGATATTCTCCTAATTTCAAATGAAAGCGATCTCAAGTCATCTGAAGTATCATCATCTATAGAATCGATTATAACAACAAAACGTTCACCGCTTATTTTTATCACAGTTATGTTTTTGGTTGAACTCCTTAATTTCTCACTGTTATACGACAATGACTGACGAAAGTTTGTGCAGAATTCAGCATGGCTGTTGGTCCAGTACTTGTAATAGACAGACTGATATTGAACTTAACAAACAGACTTCAATATGTGTAGTTGTATTTGCCGGTAGCATGAAGACCTTAGCTACTATTAATTCGGCGAAGTAAGAATAGACCAAGCATTATGGTATATGGTTTCATCAGGTCGTTCACGGAGTTATCTGATGCACGTGTGTAAAGGGCACGTGGAATTAAGTATATTATGAATTATACAATTTTAATGAGTATTATAATGGGTAGACTGTGAATTGGATCGCAGTTTCGGCAGTCTCTCAAACTATATCATGCAATAATAATGATAATAGGTCTAACAATCCTTAAAACTGAGACTTATCTGCTTCGTTGTTTTATAGCCACCTCACACTATTCAAGCAAAAAAATCACTTGGTTCCTTGAGAAAAATACTCACTTTTAAGAGTAATAGCATACAGAAATTTAGCACACAACAAACTTCATATCAGTGATAGGAATAACTTCAAACAAGCTAAACGATCAACTAATTAAGGAAAATTAGAGAATGCTGGACAGTGGTTTAGCCCCAGTTTGTGACGATTCAGAAACACGGAGTTTGAACCCAGGACGAGCCTATAAACCATCCAGCCACTGCGACTCGGTTCAATGCCTCGTGAATTCTAAATTCTGTCAGTTTGCTCTATATATATTTCATCACTGTTTTCTTACCTGACTTGATGGCTCCGCTTGTGGTTGCACCATAAAAGAAGTCGTAATTTACAGGCAATTGAATCAGCTCCCAGTGGCTGAATCGTCTCACAGCTCACCTTGTAAATGGAAGGTTCTGGATTCGAAACCCAGTGGATGAATGAGTACTTCTAAAGAGTCGCAAACTAGGAATAAACAGTTGGTTCTGTAATTGATGTCAATTCATGATAAAACCAATAACCAAACAAATCCCTGAAAACCGATACATGATATCCAAGAAAACATTTAAATGATTAGGCAAGTGAATTTTAATAGTAACCTAGTTAATAACATTTTTGGCGTTTGGAATCATGCATTCCTGTGCTGTAGTCCCGATGGAGACATAAACATCTAAGATGCTGAAACATCTAGATGATGCGTTCGAAATAGGACGAAATCCATGTCCCAGATGCTTATAGAGATAATCTAAAGGAATGTAATTTCAGATGTTATGGTACCTTTTTATCAGCCGAAACTACACTAATTTTTTTTGTTATAAATATTAAAGCAAATGTCAAACGACGGATTGTACCGATTTCTCTCCTTGTCTCTTTTACAGAGATAAAATTGGATAGCGAAATTGGAATTTGCAAAAAATGACACCATTGTTTGCGAAATTGTTATATGGCACACTGCCTTGTTTATGATAACTAAATTGTTTTTTTTTTTAACACTGTATTCCTTCCTGTCTGGCTTACATAATATTAAGAATTTAGATT